GACCTCAGCGACCGCGTTTGTGCGGCCGTCAGTCGTGAGTTCACTCTTCCATGTACGTTTCTGTGAAGGTCGCTGTCGCTGGGCCAAGCTGGTAGCATCCCCTAAGATCGTCTTAGTACTGTAACTTTGTCGCGACATGGGTCGCTCCAAGTGCGCTAGTTGCGGGCAGTGGGGCAGGGACCGCTGCACTTGTAAAGTCAACTCCGCCAGTACTACAAAGACACGTGGCAAGGCTTCGACGAAGTCTGCTACGTCCAAGAAAACACCCGACGCGACCCTGACGACTGAGAAGTCTTCTACAGCCAGCTCTGCCACTCCTACCAAACCAAGTAGCAAAACTTGCACGAGGAGTACCGTCGCCAAGAAGACAAGCAACGCAACCTCTACGGCTTCTAAGCCCGAAGTGAAAGCCAGTCAGTCCGCAGTAGTTCCTACAGACTCCCCGCACGTACAATTAGAGCTAGAACGTTTGAAGGTAGCACGTCTGCAGCTTGAGGCTGTCAAGACAGAGGCTAAAAAAGTCAGGCGAGCTGAGAAAGAGGCTCGTCTGCAAACTACTGTAAATAAAGCAGACGTCCTGGTGGTCCTCCAAAGACGGCTGGTGGAGTCATCGCAATCGCGGTGGTCCCTGGAAGACACCCAGTTCCCGGCAGACTTTTTCGTCAAAAGGAGCCTCCAAAGGAGTATCCTGGAACCAATGCCAGAAGCGTCCCTACAATAATTTTCCGCCCGACGGCCTTGTGTGGGATGAGGCTGAGTTGAGTGCGTGTGGTGACGGTTGTAACTAACACAAAGCCGTCTCAAGTGAAAAGTCTGCAGTTGCGAGTGTAAGATAGTGTTGAGGCGAAGTAACTCAGAGAGAATGCTACTGAAACTTCGAGAGACAGAATACGAGAAAGGAGAAAGCAAACAAGGATATAAACCAAGAGAACAAAGGGGAGAAAGAAACAAAGGAGAGAAGGGGAAAAGGTGACAGTAGCATAAGGATAAAAGTAACAAAAAAGACCAGGGGAGGAAGGGGAGCGTGGGGACAAGGGGACAAAGGGACAAGGGGACAAGGGAACAAGGGGACAAGGGGACAAAGGGGACACAGGGGACAAAGGGGGCAAAGGGACAAAGGGGACAAGGGGACAAAGGGGACAAAGGGGAAAAAGGGGACAAGTAGGAAGCGAAACGCGTTGAAGCGCATGGAACTGGAACATATACCACATATTATTACAACACATCGACACATACAGGTCATGGTTTGTCTCCAACAATCACGTCTTGGTGTCATCCTCAGTCTGTTTCAGTTTTCCGTCTGGATGTCCTTGCATCGATGTATCTGCTACGTTGTAGTCCATGCACACTGCTGCTTCTTCTTTCCGTCACGAACCGCATAACATTCCTCGGCACAGCCATTCCTTGCGCAAAGCATTTTCTAGCAATTCCGTGTCCTCGCTTGTCTTCGCTCGTCCTTCTCATGGCGGAGCAGTTGGAGCGTGATCTTGAGCACCTGATGGAAGCAGAATATCCCGAGATGGCCAGCTCTGCGCCCCCGCAACGTCCGCAAAAGCGTCTTCGAGGCGCAGGTCTGTCGGATGCTTAGCGTACAACTATGTACATCTTTCTTATGTACGCTGTCGTCGTCGATTTGACCGCTCAGGTTTCGTGCCTTGTCCGACATGGATGTGCCTCCTCCGCCAGCAGAGGTTCTACAACCACCTCCGCCGAACGATCGCGCCAAGATGCCGGATCTACGAGCCCAATATCTACCCTGGGGTCAGCAATCCTACTCGGACTTCAATCAAGAGTGCAGCCAACTCGTGGCTATGGCCAAGTATGTGTGTGACATGGATGCTGCAAACTATATGATGTCCAACAAACAAAAGCTCATGCTAGCCATGCTCATCGACGGGGACAATTGGCGTGCTCATTGTCGCCAAACTTTCCACTACAAGGATGGTGCATGGGTTCGAGCAGACTCTCTCTATTTGGATGCGTGGGAAATCCTTATGGCATTGGAAGGTCTCTTCGTGCAAATGTCCTTGGATGTGGAGGCTGGGGGTCAGCAGGTGGAATGGACATGGACGTCTGCGAACTCGCACATTGTGCAAATCATTCGTGATCTCATGCAGGGCACGGAGACTGTTATCAAGATACTATGTGGGGTCGCCAAAACGAATAGTGACCATGTTCGAAAGGCAGCGAGCAACAAAACCTGGCATGCTCAATGGGGTCGCCGTGTCGCCGACATGCTCGCGCAGTACCGTAAGACGTGGGAGAATGAGTTTTTGTCCAAGCCATTGTCCAAGCTCTTTCTTGTGGAGTGGGACACTCCTTTGCCTCGTTCGAAGGGTGTTTGCTTCCTGGATGTCTTCTTAGAGGAGAATTGGGAAATTGCATCCAAATCCCGGGACCACAACTGCTACCTCAAGCTGAACTACCACTTCTTGTATGAGCGGGTAGTTGCACGGGATCCTAGCATCGTCGCAGACTTCGTTCGTTCCTGGAATCCCTTTACTATGAGAATGCCCATGCCTTCGAGATCAAGCTTTGTTTTCTTCATGCTGCTTTCAAGCGGGTTTGCACATCTAAGATGATCTTCCAGATTGGGAAGGGAGGGGACGGTAAAGGTATGGAGGCCATTTTGGATCGAGCTCTCTTTGGTGATCTTGCGTCCTCGACTCTGGACTGTGCGATCGCGGTGAATTCCGTAAGTCAGCTGAACTGGCCTGGAATGCAGCGAACGTGAGGATTCAGGAAATGGACCAACGAGCCCATTTCCATGCTGACATACGGAAGCGTTTCGTTGTGAACGAGGACATAGACTGTAGAGTGAACTATGGGTTCACCAAGGAGCGGCGCTTCGGGGACAGTTTGAAAGTCCAAGAGCTCAACTATGACAACATACCCGTCATAGAAGAGGCTCGTGATCGCAGCAAGAGCTGCCAGCAGCTCGAACGTCGTGTCGTATGTGCACGGCGACGGAGAGTGAGGTCGATCCCGAGAACGGTGTGTTCCTGTTACTACCGCAGGAGGAGCTGTCTTCTTTGCTTTCGCATGAGGTCACCGCTGCTCTTTATCTACGTGAATATTGCATACCGTCCTTTCAGGAGACGAGCTTGGAAGAGTCGTTGAACATGATCAATAATTTGGGTGAAGTCCATGCCGACTTGCTCAGCGACACGAAGTGGTTAGCATCGCGGCTGGCGGGAGGGAATGCTCCACCTCCAGGCGAAGGTGTATGTGATTTGTCGGAGAACAACGACACGGTCATTGCAGCCCATTCTCAGACGCCTTGGAAAAGAATAATCAGGGAGTATCTCATCCACAAGATTGAATCGCTACCCGGTGCGATTCGTCTTCGAAAGGCAAACGCACGAAACTGTCGCACTTGATCGAAGCTGTGGACCATGCAGATGTAATATTACTGAAGCACGTTGATCACGGCACGTTCCATAAGCTTCTCATCGATTGGCAGCGCTTGGTTCCTGCGATGGAGGCTCATGGTGGGTCCGCAGTCTTCGGCACTTGGGCACAGTGGAGTGATCCTTTCGACCTTTTGCATTTGCAGGAAAAGTGGACAGGATCTGCTTTTCAGCATGACGCCCAGATGATTCGCCAGAACAAAGGCCCAGGCGAAGATTTAGCTTTCTTGGGTCGCTTGAGTGAGGTTCGCCTGCATAAGAAGATCAACTTGTCTACACTGGAAGCATATGCTCGAGCAAGAACAGATCGCAGACAAGACCTCCTGGATGCGTACCTCACACGTCATCGTCGCGATGGTTTCAGCAATGGCGACTACTCCACCATCGAGGTTGAGTATTACAGTCGACCGTATTACGGCCGTCTCATTGCTCGTAGTGCTTCTGGTCAGAAGCTAACGCGCGAGGCGCGCATGGCTGCATTCAGCCCACATTGCGTCGAGATTGATGCACCCTGCTGTCATCCCCGACTGCTTGAGCAGAAACTTCGAGACGAAGGACTGTGGGATGACCTAAAGTATCCTATGCTCGGTCTCGTCGTACTTCATTGCAACAATTGGCGTCAGTGCCTCGCCACTTACTCGGACTACACGGTCACCGATGCAAAGGTGGAACTCATTCGAATTTTCTATGGCGGCCGTCCTAACATTGAGGCACCGTTTCTCTTGAAATTGTGTGACGAGGTCCAGCGTGCTGCCGTTGCCTTGCTTAGAACTCCAGAGGCGAGCTGGTTCAGTGATCTGTGTGGGGATCGTCCGAATCCAGAATTCAGTCGCCTCTCCGCCATGCTTTCTTTTAGGAAGCCAAGCTACTGCAAATCGTTCACTCTCGACTGGACGGCTGCTACATCGACTGCAACGACTTGGCTGTGGAGCTGGACATAGTCGAAGCTTGTCGAGCTTGTGGAGACCAGATGATCCCCATGGACGTCAAATCTTGGTCATCTCAGACAGAGGTGTCAACCCTGGCGCACATGTTGGGTCGTCAAAAGCCATCCTCGTGGAGCCTTCATACTGTTGCTTCCGAGCAACAGCATGCATCTTGTTTGCACTATGCCATTAGTTTCCTACAACCAGACTGTGACATCGATCTCGTGGCCGTCACAGAGGAGGATGGCTGCATCTCCGCCAAAGATTTCAATGATCAGATGATGTATGCTTCGCAACGAGCTCTTTCGGAGGGTTATCGCATGATCGTCCAGAACGACATTAATCTGGTGGGCCTCAAGAACTCCAGTGAAGTTCGTTTCTGTCATCAGATTCAATCAGATGGAGGTCACTGGTGGGGCATCAACTTTATGGCCGACTCCCAGGTCATGCTCGTGGATTCCGAGTGCAATGGCCGCCACCTGGTCACGGACTTCGACAACTTCATTCGTCTTGCATCGACTATGCAGAACATGACTTGGTTTCGTTTGGATATTCGTCCACATTCCTGGATCCATCCGGAGCATGAGGCATACAATCTTCGTGGATCGGGGCCTCTGAAAAGACCCGCAGGTGCCCTTACGAGTTCGGATTCGACTTCCGCGTCATCTTGCCGGACACTCACAACTCCTCTTCGACATTGTATTGAGTGTGGGGCATTGCTACAGACCGAGCGGTCGATTGAGGCTCGCTTGTACACTCTCAACGGGCATGAGACCGTATGTCATCTCACGAAGCGATGCACCTACAAGCCTTGTCGCGTCATTCACCACTACAACTACAGCATCTCCGACGGGTACAAGATGAACACCATTCTGCCAGAGGATGTAGACGTCATCTTTGTCAATCCAAAGACTGGGTTCACCAAGAACTTCCTTGAGTACCACGCGGCACTCCAGTTTCGGGGTGGATTAAGCATACACGCAATCACCTACGCGCAGAAGGATGCTCTCTGGAAAGATTCCAATGAGCACGTGCGATGGCGTCGGGAGTATTCCGCTGCGCAACTATACTTCAACGTCCTGAGTGTAGCGGAGATCATGCATGAAACGTACGACAGGGAGAAGCTTCTCCAGTACACGCACGAGATCGATGTAGCGAACCCACTCGCTAATGATTTCATGGCCGAATACACAAGATGGTGAAGAGCAAATGTTTGTTCGGAAGAAGAGGCTTCCTTGATGAAAGACATTGTCATCGACGGCCACGAAAAGGTCTCTAGCAAGTGCGCCCACTCTCCACCCAAGCGTGCAGGCAGACCCAAGTCGAATGGTATCAAGAAACGCCGTAATAACGGATGGTTCATGGCTGTGCATCCAGGGACAGGCTTGATCCTCGGCTTGCGAGAAATGATCGACCCAGAGAACAACAACATTGCAGTCGATGTGCTGAATGACGTCGCCTACATGGTTGCCGAACCTTGATTGCGTGATTTATGATCGCATGTGCAGCTGCATGAAGGCCACCTCTAAGTCGCACGCTTTGCAGAGGATCCGCTATTGGTGCATCGACAAGTTCCATGCACATGGACATTCGGATGGTTGTGTCTGCTCGCCACTCGTACACAATCGGCTGGCAACAAGACTGCGTGCCGTCAACACCTCCATCGCGGAACAAACGTTCAAGTGGTTCCGGGGTTACGCAAGCACATTCAACACTATGTATCTCTTCTACGTCTTCCTCTACGTGCAGAAGCACAATGACCTTGTTCGCCGCGACGCCGCCACGTACAGCTCCGGAGCTGTTTGCGTGTTCTGATTTTGTAAAT